TCACATTCTTACATCTAAAATAAGAAAATAGCTACAACACATTGAGGCAAAAGGCAAATGTACATGCTCCTTATACTTACCAGAAACATTTTCCAGGGAGTTCCTTTTTAATGTTTCTCATCTGAAATTGGATTCATAATAATGGCATTCTTACATCTCAAATGAAAGGATCCATTCTATAGAAATAAATTGCTTTAATTTCACATTCTTTAGAAGTATATGCAATCATGGACTAGATGCAAAAATTGTGTTGTGTGTCATCCTTTAACTGACTGCAAATCAGTGTTTTGTTGTACCAGTGCTTCCTGGTATGGGACTTGGATAAGAAGTATTTGGCATGGGCAATTCAATTTATTCGGACATTTTATCTTACTGTATGGTGAACTGGGATCAACTTATGTGGACACACAAAAACACACGCGCTGAGACTCATATAACTGTTTGTAACATGAGTTAATAACAAGTGCAGTTCTGTAACTGTTCATAACATATAGTTGCTCCAGTTTTAAACTACACTTGAGCCACTATTCTGATAGTTCCAAACTGATGTTTTGTTTGCCTTGCATGAATTGAACCATGCTTCTAGTTTTAAAGTACACTTGAGCCACAGTTCCTGATAGTTCCAAACTGATGTTTTGTTTGCCTTGCATGAATTGAACCATGCTACTCTGAAATCAGAGAGCAGACAACATAGGTTTATTTTTTAGTTAAAGTATAATAGCTACTAAGCTACTGTATATGCAATGCGAGCAGATTGTAAAATATGCAAACCCCTGATGTATACTAGGAAGTGTTTGTTCATTAGTATGGCAACATGTGTCATAGTGTCTAGGACCCTCTGGTGAGCTGATCCACTCTTTAGTTTTCCACCTTTTACTTTTAGCTTTTAATTTTGTTGGCCTTTCCTACGGATTTTCGATATTTCTGTTCTTTATATGTTCAAATTGTAAAGGAGGTAAAATGCACATGTATGTCCTTGATGCAGATCTCTTTGATTTATATATCTGCTCACGAGGACATTCCCATTGCATCTGAATTGACAAGTCGAAGAATCTGGTCTTTTTGTGCTTGCCTACAAAATTGTCAGATCTTATATTTGTTTGCCAAACAAAAACGACTGATGGTTGCTTGACTCAACCATGCACGAGCATTTCTGGATTGTAGAACAAAGAGGCGCCTTATTTTCCTTTTCTATCATCTACATGTTTGTCTGTGCATTTGCACTTTTCCTCGAGCGTATTGGTTTCTAATACCATTTTTAAGCCCCGTGGAACCTTCGACCAGTAGAAAAATGTTCGAAGAAACCTGCTCTGAGCTCTGTGTGATTAGGTTTATGTGTTTCTGTTGTACAATTGTCCCGGGCAAAAGGACCGAGTGTTGGCGGGTGGGCATCGTGAGTCCCGCTCTGTGTGATTTTTTTTTTGTCATGGCCTGGGTTTGCTGGTCGAGCTCACTGCCGTCCGCCTCAAGGTCGTGCTTCCCTATCCCTCTTCTTTCTCTGTGTGTGTGCGCGCGCGTATGTGACTGCTTCCATTAACCGTGTTGCAGCTGGTCCGGGATCTGAGCGCGGCCCTTGATTCGTGTTGCTTGTTTTCTCTGCCGAAGTTGTGGTTGCATGAATGGGGCTAGGGTTGGAGGGTCATCATCAACGTGGCACCGGCGCCTCCCTTCCCCTGGAGCTGGAAGGTACCATCTCAGGCTTCCAAGATCTGTTGGATCAAAAATTGCAGGTGACGGAATCAAATTTTGTTAGATCAGAAATTGCGTTTGATGGAATTGAATCTTGGATGTGATTGAATTAGGTATTGCTCAAGCTGAAAGTTGAATGTTTGTCAACTTGATTTGTAGTTCAACACGCCAAAATTGTGGTGGATTGGGTGGTATATTTTACATAGTTGAATTTTTTTTTGAATTTTCGGAGAGGACCATGGCGACAAGCTACAACAACAAAGTTCCAGACTAGAGAGGTTGTATGTGATGAGTGATCGGTTGTTTCTTGGATTAACATGTGAATCTCCAACTTGACCGACATAGTGTTCGAGTAGAGCTAGGGTAGTTTCAGGCCTCTGCTTCTGGTTATTACAAGCTAGGTATTATTGTGGCAGTGATTGGAAACTTCTACGTGACTTATCACCATCATGTCCATGCCCCAGATTTAGGTGAGCGCTCAAGGTATGAAAATAAATGCCGACTAGAATAGCATGTCTTACAGCAACATTTCTCATGCTTTTAAATGACCACTATGTTTCTAATTGTACAGGAAGAATTTTGTAGTTCCACTGTTGGATTCCAAGCAGGCAATTCATGATCAGCCTTGCGCATGCTATGGAGTTTCAAGAAATTGATTGACAGGTGGAGTGACTGTTGGCGTCATAAACGAAGAAACAATTAAGTCACCGGACAACAATTAAGGCCTATTGGTTATGTGGTAAGCAACCACTGGACCCTTTCTACAAGCATATAAATGTTCATGGTGTACATGACAATGATTGTTACCTATTTATCTTAACTGTGACCTCGCATTGGCATTTCAGAAACATTGTAGTTGCTTATTTGTATTCTATACTTTTGGGTGATTTTACCAGTACCTTGCTTATGTTTGTACAGTACTACTGGATATCTGATGGAGCTTTCATTGTTGTACTGCTTATTCCACCCCTTGCTTTGCTTTCACCTTTTCTGGCTGGTCTCGATGCACTTTTCAGCCGAGAACCAAAAAGATATCTCGTGCCCCATATTTCTACACTTGTAATACTACTTCTGTCCCTGTCGAGTTAGATATGGATATGCCCCAAAATGTATTTTTGTTTTGCTAAACAGTTTAACGCAACTTAGTGATAAAATATGTCATCTATTTATGTACTCTTCCTCTCAATCACCAATATGGTCCCAGTTATCCATGTTCATGTATGTGTTGTCTGCAGGTGGTTATGCTGGTTTTATCTTCCGGTTGGTTGTTAGTCCCCTACAAGAGTTGTCACAATATGAAAGGCACCAAAAGGTGTCACGGTCAGGAATCTTTTTTGCAGGCATCCGATGATGATCAGGTAACCAAACCATATCACAGGATGTGTGTTTGTGTGGTCTGGCAAAGTAATGCTCTTCTTTTGTGGTATGTGGAAAGTAAAGCTCTCTCTGTTATTGATTTTTGGAGCCGTTAAATATTTTTCCCTCATAATAGTTTTAGATGTTATGCCTTAGCATATTATATCAATGAGAAATGAATGTGTTTTAGCTCGTATCTTCTAAATTAGTGTCTTCCACTGATATTAGAAATTAATGGTTCATATCATGTTTTGTATTTCTGTTATATCGTGTACTTTTTCAAAATTTGTACCTCAACCTAGCCTTCTTAGTGATAATTTTAGTGGAAGACATTAGATTTCTTTTCGAGTATGAGGACTGTTATTTATTAGCAACAAGTATTTATCACCTCTAACAGAAATTAGTCTCCTTATTAACAGAAATACACTGATCCTATTCTACCACTATAATTTAGTTCATGTGTTGTAGGCAACCGCCATTGCAATTCCTAAAGATATGGAATTCTCATACTGATGCCGCTAATGTATTTGCTCAAGAGGTCTCAAATTGAAAGCTAGGCATACTCTTCTTGATAAATCGTGTTTTATAACCAGATCAACAGAGTTTTTGTATTTCATGATTAAGAGATGAAGTCATGTTTGCCAATATCACCCAAAAATACAATAATTATTTTCCATCCTGAGCTCATTTCCATGCATGCTCTGGAATATTTTCCTATGGAGAAGAGGGCCACAGTACGAATTGGGCAGACTTTGTCAAGGCGGCAGGAATAGAAGAATAACATATACTCAGATAAGGATCTTCGCCTTCAAGATTATAAGGGGAAATTATTGCTCACTGTCCTGTCCATACGCTTTAGAAGGAAATCACAAGTGTATTTTCTATTCAAAACCATCATGTGGTCATCTATATTACAAAACTATCTATCAGTGCGGTAGTTGAACCAAAGCTATCTATCAGTGCGCCTAACTAGGGCTTCGTAGTTTTAGCGCATCCACTGCCACTGTGTTGGCATTTGCTCTCTAATGTTCCTGCTTGTACTACTAAACTTAATGTCAACTAATGAACTTTTGTAATCTCATGGCTGCATTGAACTTGATGTTGCCTTACTTCTGGGGCCGGTTAGTTTTATAATCTCATGACTTTGTTGAACTCGATGATGTTACACTTCTGAAATGTTTGTTCTTTTCCATAAACCAGAAAATCGCTTGTTCTATTACATGTGCTAAACTTGCCTTCCTACTAATGCATCATGCGATTTGATCTTCCGCTGTTTGGCAATGTCGGTTGGACCGGCACCCTTGCGCCAAGGCGCGTTGCCGATCTAGTATTCATGGATGTGCGTGGAAGAGTCAACATGCATGCACAGAGGCTACGGCATGTAAATTCGACTGAAGAAGTATAGGGTCAGTCAACTCCATTGTGAGCTTCCACGCCATATCACAAAGCACTTGTCATAGAATTGACCAGCCGAAATTAAAAATTCAGCCGCCCGACATATAGCTAAAGTGTATTCGGTCACAAAAGGGGAGCCTTGGCGCAGTGGTAGAGATATTGCCTTGTGACTATGAGGTCACGGGTTCGAGTCCCGAAAACAACTTCAAAGTGGTCGACCCCTTCTCTGGACTCTAAACAAAAAAAGGATGTATGCGACCATGCGCACATTAACTCTTCAGATTGCATATTTTATTCAAGACACGTACTTGCTTCAGAGATAGGAAAAAGACTACTTGCAGTACAGATATACTAATTGCTCCATTCACTGTATCATACACGTGTTAGTTGACGCTTACACACAAAACATCAACCAAACACTACGATAACACCAACGGCTTCAATGCAAGGTACAAACAAATAAAAGTCACCTCAACCTTATGCAGCCTGGTACATTTATTGACCTCTGGATTAGCTTAGAGATCTCTGCGATTGGACTGGATGTCATGAACAAAGTGGCATCAGTAGCTCCGATCATCTTCCATAGTATTCTTTCTAAGCTTCACAAGTTGCTCTGCTACTTCTGCCATCTCAGGTCGGCCATCTTGATGTTCTTTTAGACACTTCACTGCTAGCTTGCCCATTTCTTCCAAGATCATGATGTTTTCTTCTGTTACAATCTCTTCATCAAACATTGACCTTCCACTCTGTTCAGTCTCATATATATGGCGAAACTCGATGACGAGGCTACCGCTTTGACCATATACTAGTTGTTTCCTAGATATGAGTTCCAGGAGAACAACTCCAAAGCTGTAGACATCACTCTTTGGTGTTAATAGGCCCGTGTTCCTGAACACCGGGTCCATGTAACCCTCGCACCCAACCACCTTCTGAGAAATTTTTTCCCCCAAGTTAAGCAATTTAGATAGCCCAAAATCTGATATTTTTGGTATTAACTTATCATTAAGAAGTATGTTGTCTGGTTTTACATCACCATGCCGTATGTCTTGAGAGTGCATATAGCTTAATCCTTTGGCAGACCGAATTGCGATATCCAATCGTAGCTCTGCCGAGAGTTTTTGCCTTTTGTTGATGTGGAGTATGTCGCTTAGGCTCCCATTGGCGGCAAACTCATACACCAACATTGGAACATCCAACTGGAGGCAGCAACCCATGAGCTTGAGAACATTAGGGTGGTTCATTTTCAATTGGATCATCACTTCCTCGGTAAATTCCTCTATTCTCTCGTCATCTACCTTGATAAAAGATTTAACTGCCACCACTGTTTCATTTACATCAGGTAGAGTTCCTTTGTACACTTTACCAAAATATCCATTACCCAGACACTCTGAATTATTCTGTGTGATTTTATTTAGCTCCTTCTCTGTGAAAATGGTCAGGCCTGTGACCCTTTTAAGTATGTTACCCCCGTTCATTTCAAAATTTTCAGCAAGTTTTTTCTTTTGGTGCATTATGAATGCCAAGAGTAGCGCAACAACCAAGAAGAATACACATAGGCCGATACCTGCAATAGATCATGTAGAGTTACTTGTAGCAATTTTGTAGAGTTAATTGCACTAGGAGTTACATGTACCAAACATGTTCAGTTTAGTCCACCAAGTTGAAAAAATGGATTTCTTTTACTCAAACACTTGTGTTTTGGGTTAATTTTTGTTGAAACTCAGCCCGGGCACAACACATGGTCCAGTATTTTGTACTAAAAGATCCATTTGCATCTTTGCATATCACATCCATTCTCCCTCTGTATCTAAATAGATAGCAGAAAGTAAACTCAAGGCTTTCTAAGTTTGAGAAGCATATATATACAAAAATATGAAGATAAACAATACCAAATCGATATTAATATATCCACTGTTAGATAAATTTTATAGGGTATTTATACTTAATATTGTGGTTGTTAACCGTTTCTTCTATATGTTTGGTCAAGCTTATAAATAATTGACATTCTTAATTGATTTATAAGCCATATATTTAGAGACTGAGGGAGTAACTCTCACAGTATCCCCTGCCATTTCTGCCACCATCGCATGTTTCCTCATGTGTTTCCCCTGATGAGGAGGTCACCGACGATGCGGACCTGTTGCACGGCTCCTTGTTTGATGGCTATGACGCGCAGGCGGGTGTCAGATGCCCTCCGTTGTTGTCGCTCGCTTCTCCGGCAGGATAGGGATGTCAACCGGGTTCCGTTTAATCCCGTTTAAAGTCCACTTATGATATGATAGTTCAAAAAGGGTTTTCGTTTGTTTGAGGAAAATGAACTATCAAGCTAGCAAAAACTAACTAAACGGGATTACAGACGCCATTTATTTGCCACTTACATCCCTACGGCAGGGTGATCGAAATCATGTGGATCATGTGCAGCTTCTTCATTGGTTTGCTACTCGAGGTCGCATGTGCCAACCCCCACGACGCTCTACGGGATCTAGCGAACGGCTGTGTAACGGTGTTTGCAGTGTACTATCACAATACCACTAAATCCATGGTTGTGCCAAAGACCTTGACCACGATGTTATCATCCAACCATTCGGGCTTCCACCGTTCAAGTACCGCAAACTGCCTTCCATCATGTCGATCACCTCGCCGAAGCATCGGGTCTACGCGGTTGTCGGAACACTTACGGACAGAGGTGTTGGTCAACATGTTTGATGTGCTAAAGCCCGAGACACTCCATGCATTGCCGGATGGCGTGTCTCCATCGGGCCGGTACAAACTTGTACCTGTGTGAGGTTAGCATGAATGGAAGAGCAATGCTACACCTAACTTTTTACATGATTATCCAGATGGCAAGTCACGTAAAACTTGTGTAAGTCTTCGTAAGTGTAGGATCATTGATGAATGGAATATCGGGGGCTCCGCCTCCACGCCAGGCCGTGGTCTTGTGAGTATGGTCAGCGCCGGGTCGGAGGAATGTGCCCCACATCTATTAGAGGAAGCGAAGCACACGGCGACTTCTTTTCTCTTGTAAAACTCGGGTCATTCTTTTGGAAAAAGTGGTTTTCTTTACATATTTTTTGCCACATGTGGAGGCCCCCTATGGACACCACAAGTTTCCAACGTTGGGGATAATGGTATTGGTTAGAAATATGCCCATAGAGGCGATAGTAGTCATGATTATACTCCCTCCGATCCTTTTTAGTTCGCATATAAGATTTGTCTAAAGCCAAGCCTCGTAAAGTTTAACCAACTTTATAGAGAAAAAAATATCAACATTCATAATATGAAATCAATATCAGTAGATGTGTCGTGACTTAAATTTTCATATTGTATAACTTTAGCATATGATAGATGTTTATATTTTTTCATATAAATATGGTCAAACTTTATGAAGTTTGACTTCAGACAATTCTTATATGCAGAGTAAAAAGGACCAGAAGGAGTATTTCTTTGTATCCATGTATTATTAAATTTTCCTTGAGTAATGTAATTTGTATTGGTCGGCAAGTATGTGACTTATTTATGAAACTATATACTTGAACGATTGTGCTGAAACGGGTACCTAGTCGGAATTCATGTGAGGACACATATAGGAATTCTAGACTAGCACGTGTATTGGCTGATGACCATGTTTCGCATAGGCCATGGACATGGAGACGTCAAACCAATACCGTGAACACGTGGTACGGATTGGTGTTGGACAGACCCAACTTGAGACACATCAGGAATGCTTATATTTATCTCTTGGTCGACCCGCTCTCGAGTCGCTCCTGCGGGCGACTCAGGGAGCCAACCCTAGCGCCGCCGCTCCCCAGCCCCCCTTCCCGGCCTCCCTCCCCTTGCCGCCGCCGGTCGCGTCGCCGGCCAAAGGCCGCGTCGCGTAGGCGGCGGCGGCGCGTCTTCTTTCAGCGCGCCGGAGGCTTGCGTTGCGGGGTGCGGCCTTCTGCGTCGTCGGCGGCGGTCGGCGCCCGTCTTCGGGCTCTACTCCCTCCCCCCGGCACGCTGGCGTCCCGGTGGTCCT